AGGGAAAGCTGGGTTTAGAAGTGGGTAAAGGGGTGGTCCCATAGCTGTGGTGTGTTCACTGTGGGAGACGGGTTTATAAACATAATCTTCATGAGATGGAATAAAAGCAACATTGGTGCCTAATTAGCCAGTTTTGTTCCCCCTCCCCCCTTTCTTACTTTGTTCTGTCACAACTTTGTTCTTTATGACCGTTTCTCGGTGGGTGTTCCTGGAGGATTTACTCCTACAATCATGTGAATTGATTTCCTGGTTAAAATCAACAGCCCTTGCCTCCGCTCACTGGCCTCGTTTCTGCTTCATGTCACTACTCCCTCCTCCTCGTCCCAGTTCCTTGGCTGCACTTGAATCCCAGCTTGCAGCAGTTGGTCGCTTCGGGAGGAGAATGACACAGACTGTTTGCAGACCAGGAATGGCCAGGGTCAAGCTTCTCTTGCCCTCGCCTCAGACCTCCGCCTGTTGTTTATGCCGGAGCCCGGCCGCACCAGGCCGGTGACTGAGAGGTCTGTGGGAAGAGCTGGGAGTTCCAGTTTGTTTTCTGGGAATTGTGCAGTGATGTGCATCTCTTAGTCAAGCTGTAGTCACTTTCCAGGATTTTAAGGCCGGAGACTTCTTGGTATCAGTGAGGAATTTTAATAAACAAAGAACTTGCCCCTACAGGCTCTTTTTTTTAAAGGCTTTTTACAATGTAATCCAGTGTGCACCAGGTCCTCCTCTAAGTGGTCAAATTGGGCATCTGTTAAATCTTGTAGGAAACTCTTTTAAAAGCAGATCCTGGGGCGGGGGGGGCAGATAACTTATTTATAAAAATCCACAGAAAATCACTCACACGGCAACCATGAATCCTCTAGTCAAAATAAAAGATGACCTTCCTGTGGTGTGTTCCTTCGCTTTGGGTTCAGGAGGGCACGAGTAGCTGAGCTGCCCGAGGCCAAGGACGGGAACAAGGTCCTGCCCAGCAACGCCTCTGTCCCACTGTCTGGTTGCCTGATTCTGGCGTGGACAGGACCCAAACAGGGAGCTCTGTGGCTCTTCCTCACAGCTCTGCAGCTGAGCAAGTCAGAACTGCTCTGAGACCGAGAAAGCTCTGGACTAACACGGAGCACTCTTGTTGCACGGTTGGCAGGCCAGAGTTCCTTATTTGTCTGGCATGGATCACGTGAGCACGTTTGGTCCACGTGCCAGCCTCGTGGGGCCAGAAGGGCAAAAGGTGACACTGCTCAATTATTTATTATTTAACGTGTGTGTGTGTTTCTAAAAACAGTACATGCATACAGTAAAAACAAACAAAAACAAGAACACAATTCCTACAGTACCAAGAAATACACAGTAAAAGCCAATCTGTCTCACTACAGCCACGAGATCCCCCTCCCCAAAGGCTGCTCCTGTGTTTGCTTTCTTGTATTTCCTTCCTGAGACGACCTATCCATATCGGAGCACAGATGTCTGTCTACCTGCCTTGGTTTTTGCTCACATGGTGGCATGTTCTACAGCCGTCACACACCTTGCTTTTCCATTTATCTGTCATTTCCTCCCTCCTTGTTTTTGACATTGAATAGCATTCCATTGTGTGAATGTGCCATAGTAGTTTGTTCATATTGCTTCTGTCCTTTGTTATTACAAACAAGACTGTGTGTATCTTTGTGTACTTCATGAATATATATATAATAAGTACCTAGAAATGGAATGTAGGCCTAAGGGTATATCTGTTCTAAAGCTTGGCAGCATTGCCAAATTACCTTCCAGCTAATTTGTTTGAAAGGTGAATGAAGGAGACCCAAAGAGGTGGCTTTATGAAATTTGCACCTCCTACCTGGGATCCTCAACCTGTGAGCAGCAGTACAGCAACCAGAACCCGGCTCTGTCTCTGGCCTTAGCCCTCATTCCTTGCTCCTATCTACCTCTCCTCTGACCCTCCCAGTCCATGGCCTCTCTCCTCAAACCCTTTTTAGTAATTAAGTTGATTCTTTCCTGAGATCTCAACCATCTTGCAGGAATCCAGGAATGGCACTTTCCTCTTCACCTTGGTTCTTTGGACAACGCCATGCATCATGAATCTCAGAATCACATCCCTAAATATTTTTTCATAGGAGCAGAGGTGGACAAGAGGGAAGTGGATCAGCCATGCAACTATTCTACCATTAGTTTCGTGTTCTACAGTTCTCATAATAAGAACTTGAAATGTTAAGATTTCCTCATTTAAATAAATTGAGGTAGCCTAGCCTTATTTGGAAAATACTATTTTAGGCTTTTAGCAGATAAATGTTAGCAGGAACAGATTATATTGTCATCCTGGCAATGGGCTTCACCTTGTTGGGACAAGGAAAGGGCCTGCACAGCCCCTCTAGTCATCCTAGAAGCCAGGTGGGTCCTTAGCTTACCAAGGTGGCAGCTGCCTTTGGTCTGACACTCCACGTGGCCTCTTCCATCTGTCTCTGCCAGTGTGACTCTGTGGTTTGTTCTGTAGCAGAAGATACAGGAAGGGTCTTTTTTCAGGGCCTACATTGCTCAGTCCACCAAAGATGCAGCGGGGAGCAGCTGGTGGACAGGGGAGCTTGTGGGCCAGACCTCCACCTCTTGACCATCTCCTCCCAAAGTACAGGGCAGCTGAGCTGCTGTGGTGTCACTGTCCCTCTTCCCCCAACCCTTTTCCTCCTCCTCCTCCTCCTCCTCCTCCTCCTTCTCCTCTTCCTCCTCCTCCTTTTTCTTCTTTTTAAATATATTTTATTGATTTTTTACAGAGAGGAAGGGAGAGGGATAGAAAGTTAGAAACATCGATGAGAGAGAAACATCGATCAGTTGCCTCCTGCACACCTCCTACTGGGGTTGTGCCCACAACCAAGGTACATGCCTTTGACCTAAACACGGACTGGCCAAGGTGTGAGTGCACAAGCTGGCCATGTTGTCCAGGAGCAGAGCCATGGATCTCTCAACCTGGTCTCCTAGAGCAGTGCTAAGAAGGAAGGGAGACCAGTGAAGTCCCTGGGCCTGGTCCCATCAATGCTGAGGCCTATCTTGGATTCTCTCTGACCTCCCAGTCTTTTTTAAACTGAGGATATGTTTGTTTGTTTGTTTGTTTGTTTGTTTTAGGGGGGAAGGGAGAGAGAGAAAGAGAAACATCAATGTGAGAGAGAAACATTGATTGGTTGCCTCCAGTATATGCCCTGGCCGGGGATGAACCTTAATCTATGTATGTGCCCTGAGCAGGAATTGGACCTGTAACCTTTTGGTATATGGGATGATGCTCCAACCAGCTGAGACACACAGGCCAAGGCCCTCCCAACCTTTTAAATCAAAATCTTTTGGACCAAAAGAATTTGTGGTCAACTCTGCAAAGGAAAATACAATCAGTTAAGAGCTTATGCCTTGGGCCAACAGCATGTCTCCTGACAAGCTCAGGTATCTATTCTAGAAAGCTGCCACTGCTGCAAGGGACTTCAGCCTCATAGCTCTGTCCCCTCATGCATGGTACCATCAGTGGTACCTCTCTGGGCGGAGAGGACCGGGTTTGGAGTCAGAGCCACCCCAAAGGCTGTTTGTATAGGCTTCTGGCCCCAATGGTGACTCCACCCCCCTCAGGTATCTGGGCTGCATCGGGGCGAGGGGTGCCTGCAGCCACTCTAGCCCGCTGCGGGCAATGTGGGCGCTGCGGACAGTGCAGGCAGTGCAGCACGTCAGCAATGCGCCTCTGCTGCTTTCTTTAGAAAGGCCCTCAGGTGCAGGGCTGTTAAGATGTGATAAGGCAGCCTGGCTGCTGTGGCTCAGAGGTTGAGCTTCAGCCCACGAATTAGGAGGTCACAGTTTCATTCCCTGTCAGGGCACATACTCTGTTTGCATACTCTGTCCCCAGTAGGGGCATGCAGGAGGCAGCCAATCAATGATGTTTCTCTCACATCTCATCGATGTTTCTCTCTCTCTCTCTCTCTATTATATATATATAGTGATGAGGAAAATGGAAAGCCAGGATTTAGGGATCCCAATTTATGGGTTCTCTTCAAAGTCATTGCCCTGATGATGATGTCACTGGAGAAGTGATCTGCAAGCCATAGGGATTTCCCCCTACCCTGTGCAGAACCACCAGCTAAACTGTATTCACAGGGCTTGACATGGTGACCGTTGACTGTTTCCAAAAATCAAGGACAAAGATTTGCTACCTCGGGACATCCAAAATAAAGCGATGTCACTTCCGATGGAAGGTGAGGTTACAATGGCGATCCAGTGGCCCAGCGCTTATGACACTGTGCTCATAAGAAAGCAACGTCAGCCAACCCCATCACTTTGGACATAAACCTCCTAGAATAATGGCTGTCATAGCCTCAGTCTGGAAAGATGAAGATAACCCACCCAGAGGGCTAATTTAAGGATAATTATGGTGCCTACAATGTAGGGAGCACTCTTATGATCTATAGTGTCACTAATCTATATACTCAGCCAGTAGGCAACCCTAACCCATTTTCAGATGAAGGAACTCAGGCCAATCAGCTAATAAGTGCAGAGCCAGGACTTGAACCTACATCTGTTTCCTCCAAAGCCGGAACTCTTTTTTTTTCTTTTTTCTTTTTTTTAAACCTTTTGCTGCTTCTTATTGAAGACAAAGGACTCCATTTGAGTCCCTGGAAGAAAACTAGGGTCACGTCATTTAGCTTTGAGATGAGGCTACTCAGAGTTGTCTTCAGATATGCCAGGCTTAGCTTCTAGAAGGCTCTAAGCCTTGGGTGGGATGAAGGGCAGAGTGACTAAGTGCAAATGTTCGGTGGGCAGGGTAATAGCCAGTGGGCAGGGGCAGCTGGGGCGGGGCAGGTGAGGGTGCGGGCAGGTACAGGTGAGCTGTGGGTTATGACAAAACAGGGGAGATGTGGGTGCCGGGTGGCTGTGCAGGTTGAAGGCAGGGCAAAGTGAGACAGATGGCTTTGGGTGGACCAGGTTCCACACCATTTATCATGCCCACATTTCCTTTTATTTCAGATGTCCTCAAGTCAGCAAACATTTACTGAGTCCTTCCTATGTACAAGGTATGCTCTGGGTACTGGGGGAGGGAATGTGGTGATCAGAGGTGAATGAGTCACACACATTTACTGTCCTTGGGGGAAGCTGGGGTAACAGGGACCAATGGATACGGGGAGGGTGGCAGAGTGTGCCAAGTGGCAGCGACTTGCCCAGTGAAGACTGAGCATGAGCTCCCTGACTTGGGGGCCCCTGGCTGAGGAGATGCCGTCAGTGGGCTCTGAGGTCAGGGAACCTTTTGCTGGGCTGAGAAGTGAGGAAGGACCACGGGCATGGACTCCTGAGAGTGCAGCTGCCAGGGTTTGTCCTCCAACTCCCTGCCTTCCCACCAGGAGGTCCAAGCTGACCTGTCTCCCCAAGTCTGTGCTGCCTGCCCAGACTCTGTTTCCTCCTCTGGCCCAGAAGCGAGGGTGAGGCTCTTCCTTCTGCAATGACAGGCCCACCCTGCCTGCCAGGCTGCTAACTTTGGCTCCTAGGCCAGCTCTTGGGCCTAAGTAGGGCAGGATAGGGGAGTGCTGCCATCTAGTGGCAGGCTCTGGTTGAGCATCTTCCCTGAGCCCCCTCAGGTCAGCCCACTTGTCTGTTCTCAGTGCAACAAGGCCCAGATTTTGCTTAGAGAAACATTGTCATTTACTCTGCTGGAGGGAACAAGGAGGAATCGTCCCTCCTCTCGTGGGCTGGCTCCTCCCCAGCCAGGAAGCCCTCGGAAGCCCTTCTGAGGCACAGGGGAGAATGTTCAAGGCCCTCCCCTAACCCTAAAGGGAGTAAATGCTTGCCTAGGACCAGAGGCTAGATCCCCTTCCGCACAGCCCCGCTCCTGTTTCCCTTCGCAAACGGTCAGGGGCCCCTCTCTGACACTTGCCTTTAGGCCACAGGACAGAGGTGACTAATCGTAACAGAATCAGCATGTGTTCTCATCGGCCTAGCCCCAGCCAGATATTGTTCCCAGATGAGAACATGTCTTATTGGGTTTAGCACTGATGGCTGTGGAGGCAGAGCACTTTGAGTAACAGGCGGCCACACGGTGTCCTGAATAAACCCTGGGCCCTCCTACCTTGTTCTGGCCAATGCTGGCTCTGGGGCTTTGAGCCCAGCACTCCACACCACCCTCCCCCACTGGCTTTCTCATGCCAGGGCGCCGGTTGCCCCACAGAGTAGCTGGGAGGTGGCTTTGTGCCCCCGCCTCCTTCCCCAGTGCTGGAAGCTGGCTGCATGCAGAGCTCTGGGTCCAGCCAGCACCTCATCAGGCTAATGCTCTCTTACTCTTTCTCCCTCCGGAGATGAACATCTGCAACAAGCCCTCCAACAAGACAGCGCCGGAGAAGAGTGTGTGGACAGCACCCCCCCAGGCCAGCGGACCCCCCCCAGAGCTGCAGGGCCAGCGGTCCCGCCGGAATGGGTGGAGCTGGCCCCCTCACCCGCTCCAGATTGTGGCCTGGCTGCTGTACCTCTTCTTCGCTGTGATCGGCTTTGGGGTCCTTGTGCCGCTCCTGCCTCACCACTGGGTGCCTGCTGGCTATGCTGTATCCTTGGGGAAATGTGGGGCTGATGCATGGAATTGTAGGGGCAGTAGATGGAGGACATGGCAGAGGCCTGAAGCTGGGCTCCAGAGTCCCAGAGAGCACAGGTAGACCCGTGTCTTCCCCGGGAGAAACCAGCTGCCTGCCTGCCTGCCCAACCTCCAACCTCCCGCTGCCCCGCTGCCCCATGTGGTGAGCTCACAGACCTGAAGTACCTCGGAGCATATAAAGGCCCACACAGAGGGAGCCTCGTCAGCCAGGGCACTGCTCCAAAGCTCTCTTTAAGCTAATTTATCCCAGAGCTCAACAAGGGATAAACGAGAGGGTAATTATTCCACTTATGAAAGAATTGTTCACTTTTCAAGAAGAGCCATGGTAGAATTCTTTTACATAGTAAGGTTTTTGGTACATTTAAAATGTGGCTTTATTTTGGACAGATGGTTATGCTGTCCCCGGACTATTTAGAAACACACTGATTTTGTAAATGGTGCCCTTTTAGGATGTGGTTGAATTGAGTAGAGCGGGGATCAGAGATGCCCTGGAGGTTCCTGAGAACAATGACAAACACAAACTTGCATGGGCCTAGTGGTGTGGCTGCAGCAGCTCTGGCCACAACCCCAGGAGCGGAGGACACGGCTGCGAGGCTGAGATTGGAGTGCAGCAGCGGCTGTGTGCTCCGTCCAGAGGGGCCCTGCAAGTGTGCCTGGTGATTCCTTGGGCCTTTCAGGGAGGAGGGCAAGGGCGAACTGCAGGAGGTATTCAGGGATGAACTCTATGCCTCCTTGGACATAGAGTCAGCAGCAGAGCTTGGTCCCAGCTCAGCCCTTTAAGGGCTACACAAGGGCTTCTGCTAGCTGCAGGTCTCAGCCTCCTCCTCTGCCTGCTTCCCAGGGTGGGGACAAGAAGCACACAGGGATGTGTGTCTGAGCACCAGAATGCATGAGCCATAAGGGGGAGCATGCTCTCTTGGGAAATCACAGAGCCCTGGCTGGTGAGTGACATGGCAAATGTGTGGAGAAGGACTCTAGAGAAGGTTGCCATCCCCGGACACCACCAGTGTCACTGGGGGGCTTCCTGGTTCCCTAGGCCCCTGGGCATAGTCATGAGCTCTGTAAGTGGGAAACAGGCCTTAGGGCTGTTAACTAGAAGGCTTCATGGAATAGTCCTCTCCTGACCTGGAATGGGCACACCCCTCACTCAGGGTTTCCTGGGTTTCTGCCATGGGGTCTGGAGTGAGTGCAGTCAGAACACTAAACAGTAAACAAGAGTAACTACCACTTATCGAGCATTAGATGTGCCAGGCCTTGTGCCAGTCCCTGTACGTAGATTATCTTATTTGATCCTCATAATAATTTGAAGGCACTCCTCCCGCTTTACTAAGAAATTGGGGCTCAGTGAGATTAAGTGACTTCCTGAGGTCACATAGTTGGTGTCTAGTGAGGCCAACGGAGCTGCTCAGGGCACTCCCAACTCCGAGCGGCAGATGGTTTGAGGCTCTTGTCCTCTCCGCATTAATTGCTTTGGGCAATGTGGAGGCTCACAGAGCCACCAGATCTGGATTGTTCTTCCTTCCTTCAAAGCCACCTCCCTTCTGCAGGCTTCCTCAGGACCCTGGGAATGAGGGAGGGAAGTAATGTGTACCAGGTGCCCACCTGGCACCTGGATCTAGCCTGGGACCTAGGGTTGCAAAGATCAGCAAGACAGGACCCCAGCCCTGGGAACTCAGCCTCCAGTTAGAGAGAAGCCTTGTAGACTGGAGATTACCCCATGGCAAGTATGGGGAAGGGCTCCCAGCATACTGTGGACATGGGAGATAGGCCATCCAGACCAACATCGCCACAGGCCCTACTGCCCCCTGCTGCTCACAGCTCCCCTCTTCACAGACCTAAGCAGCCTGTCCATTTGCTCTCGACCCTGCCCCTTCATCACCTGTATCCAGTCAGTCATTAAGTTCTGTTGATTTTACCTCTTAAATAGCCTTTGAGTCACCCTCTTTCCCCTTACTGCCATCTGCCTCTCTTAACTAGAGGACCATTTTGTGGCCAAACCAGTCTCCCCACACACACTCACTCGGACCAGTCCATGTGCCCTTCAAAAACAAACACGATAAAGTTGTTCCCCAGCTGAATACCCTCTAATGGCTTCGCCCCGCCTTAAGGAATGAGGTTCTGGCTACTCAGGGCTCTCTGTGTTCTAGGCTCTGCCCGTCTCCCAGCCTCCTCTTACATCATTTGCTCTGTTCTCTGTTGTGACACTGGTCTCTGCCTGGAAGCCCCTTGCTCCTCTCTCCACCCCAACACCCAGCTAAGTCGGAAGTCAAGAACTGACATCCTGTGAATCAGTTTGGCCTGTAGACTTTTTTTTTTTTTTTTTTTTTTTAAATTGAGGGATAATTAGTTCACAAAATGGACAGACCTTTGGCAGGTGGGTTTTAAAAAATAAATTTCTTGTCAACATTTAAAGCATGAGAGACCTCACCTAAAAACGTCCAGATTTCCGGTTCCTTTTGAAAAGCCAGAATTTGGTGACGTGGCCCTCATTCTCGCATGGCAGCCATGAGCTGAGCTGGAACCACCCCCTTGGTTGGGACTCTGCTTGCTCCCAGGAACCAGCCAGGCTCCCTTTCCTCCTTACACCACCTGCCAGTCTGTTACCCATTCCTCTTCCAGCCTCACTGAGGGGTCCCTTCTCAGGGGAGCTTCCTGGATCCCTTCTGGCTAGTTGAGGTCACATTACTCACATTGTCCCATGAACTTTCTTCATCGCAGCCAACCTTTATGTAATGGACATTTCTGTTTCCCACCAGACCGCAGTCTCCTTGGAGCTAGGGGACCATGTCTGTCTCGCTCCTACCATATTCCTCAGTGCCTAACGACCTCAGTAAAACAGTTGAATGAAGGAATGAATCAGGGTGTGGGTGGGAGAAGTGTTGGAGCAGTCAGGAAACTAAACATTTGCCCACATTCAGTGTGTCTAAAGAGAGCCTGGAAAGCTGGGGAGGATGGTTGGAAATATCAGAGAGGTTTGAGAGGAGCCAAAGCATAAGGGCCCCAGCGCTGAGCTGAAGAATAAACTCTAGTTTGAGGGCTCCTGAAAGCCAGTGGAGGAGTTTAAGCAAGCAAGGATTTAGGGTTAAGCTCTTCAAAGCTACTTTAAGACCAAGTGAAGGACAGAGTCCAGAGGACCCAGAGAGGAGGAACAGAGTCGTGAGACTATGGAATAACCCAGGCAAGTGCAATGGCCTGACCCACAGCCAGGTCTATGGAGGGTTTTCATTGGTCACAGGATTGTCTCTTCCCATTAAGGCACAGCACAGTGGGGTGGAGCCTGGCTCGTGCAGACACATAGGGGAATTTGGTCGCTGGGAGGAGGAGGAAGGGGGAAAAGGTTGGACAGCTGATGGGTGGAAGCTGAATGATGGAGGGATGATGTCTGCCTGGCTAGCACGAGTATGGATGAATGGAGGGTAGATGGCTGCCTGTGTGGAATCTATTAGGGAATTTTTACACATTTAGACTTTGCAGCAAGTTGTCAGCCTCCTCATCTCCAGCATTTGGTACAACCTCTGAGCAGATACATTCTGGAAGAGCTGTGTTTCAGCTCCAGGAATTAGATATGCAGTCTCTGGTCAGGCCCTGAAAGCATCAGAATGTCCTAGATCCTCAGCCCCAGAGTTTCAATACCTGAACTCAGGTCCCGGAGGTGGTGGGGATGGGCCCCATCTGCAAGTGATTCGCTGTCTGGCCCGGCTACTGAGAAGACTTCCTCCGCAGAGAAGACTTCCTATGAAAGCAAGACAAACAAGCTTAGAACTTATGTTTTAGGTGTCTTGGCCTAAGAGGATGGTCTCATTCAGTCTCACTTCACCATTTAGAATCTGAAACCAGATCAGAATCGGAGGTCAGACCGTCCAGGGCCTGCACCGGGCCTGAACAGGGAGGCCTGAGCCCTGTGTTTACATGGCCTTGTTTCCGACGCATGGGCAGCGTAGGCAATGCTGACGTGTGTTCCCACGTGACTGCTCCCATCTTTCATCCAGGCCTGGGAACACTGGAGAGTTCTGACAGGAAGTTCTAGGGACCTGGAGATAGGGTGTGGAACAGGCTGAGTCTCTGGGAGGGAGCTATATGGAGGTGGGGACCATTTTGGGGTCTCAGCTGGCAGTGTGTGGAGTGAGCCTTTAACCTGTTGGGCCAGTGCATGGGCGCCATCTTTGCTGGTCACCTCGTGGTGCATCTGATTGCTGTCTCCATCGATCCAGCAGATGCCAACGTGAGGGTCAAGAGCTATGCAGGGCCCTTGCCCATCTTCAACCGCAGCCAACACGCACATGTCATTGAAGACCTGCACTGCAATCTGTGCGACGTAGATGTGTGAGTACGTGTGGACGGAGAGCGTGCCTCGTGGGAGCTCAAGGCAGAGAGGGGCATGCCCAGGGCTTTAGAGTCATCCTCGTTGGAGTGACAGAGAATTGGGTGAAAGAGGTGAGGAAAAGGTAATTGGAAACAGAAGATGAGGAATAGCGTTTCCAACAGTAAATGTAGGAAACATTTGGCCCAACCACAAACCCACAATATTTCTAATGACTAACTCTACCAGCCACCTCCCACCCCAGTCTCACGAGCATTCCCAGATAGAGACAGGGAGGGGAGTTAACACTCAAGACTCACTGTTGCCAAGTGCTTGGAACAACCACCCTGCAGGGAAGGCAGCATCTTTCTCCATGTAGGGAAGAGCCCAAAGCTCGGAGAGGCTAAGAGGCCTGCCTGGAGTTATGCGGCTGCTGGACAGCAGAGCCACATTCACACCAATTGGCCTAGTCCCCGAGCGGATACTGTTACCCTTGTTTGCCCATGAGGACTCTGAGGCCCAGAGAGGCCAAGCAACTTACTCCAGGTCACACTGCTGGTGGGGAGCTGAGTCAGAATGTGAGGAGTCCATGCCTTGGCTGGTCCAGACAGCCTCCCTAGGTCCCTCCACACCCTCCTAGAGCTTCCAGCCTCAGGTGGAGGATTAGGCATGGGGTGTGGTCCAAGGTCAGCTCTACACTTCCAACCTGGAGGCTCAGGCAGCCTGTTGGAAGGGGGTCTGTCCCCAGGGCCAAGAGAGACCATGGTGTGAAGGTGCTGAGGACTTGGGCATTAGACCACCCTTTCTTCACCAGGCACCCATCGGTGTTGTTCCTCAATGGGTGCCTGACAGTTGCTGCCCATTCCGGGGCTCCAGTTTGGCGAGTGCTCCCCACTCTCTGCACTCCTTTGAGCCTCCCCAGTCCCTCCCTGGGGCTGGGAGACTCACATTCCTAAGTGGCTTCACCTCATCTGTGGTGAACTGCCCCGAGTTCATCCAGATGTCATCTTGTTCCTCTTCTTTTGGTTCCCTTCGGATGCGCCCAGACAAGCTGATGTTTTCTGGAATTCCCATAGATTGGCACAGAAACAGGCTCTCAGAAAACGGAGCTGCTGGAGGAGCAGGGTAGGGCCTGACAGCCTTGCCCTGATTTGCTTCCTGGCCCTTCCCCTGCTTTGTCTCCTGGTTCCATGCAGGAGTCCTTGCTTGGAATGGAAGCCCCATTTCTGCTTCACACCACTGTCACGCGGGGTCCACTCCCCCAGTGGAGCAAAGTAATATCGCCCCCTCCCTTACTTCCTCCTGCCTTGGGTCCCCAGATCCTCAGAAACGCGGCCTCTTCTGGGTGCCCGACCCCGCAGTGCCGCCAGAGGGCGCGCACGCTCCCCGGCGTTGAGCTCATGGTCCCGAGGAGGCGCCGGGTCTTGTAACCCGCTGCAGGCCATGGAGGGGAGGACCAGCCAGCGGCCTAACCGCACTGTGCCCCCTCCCTTCCCGCAGGAGCGCTCGCTCCAAACACTGCAGTGCCTGCAACAAGTGCGTGTGCGGCTTCGACCACCACTGCAAGTGGCTCAACAACTGTGTGGGAGAAAGGAACTACCGGTGAGAGCGGCCCCGGGCTACAGGGATGCTGGGGATGAGCGGGTCTGAATTGCAGTGGGGTGGGATGGTGATGGGGGTTTGGAGCTGGGCGCTGGTGTGTGTGTGTGTGTGTGTGTGTGTGTGTGTGTGTGCTCCTGAGGGTAGGCTTGGGGTCCTTCCTCTGCTGGACCATAGACAAGTGTGGACCTGAAGGGTCATCTATCTTTGCCTTTGCCCTAACCTTTGGCTTCATGAGAAGTTGGGGGTGTAGGATCAGAGGCCTTGCTCCCGATCCCAACCCCAAGTCCTTCTGAGCTCTGGGCCCTTACCAGCTGGAGCACCCGGTGCTGACAGCTGCCCATGGCTGGGCCCAGGCTCTTTCTACACAGTGTGGCATCTGCCTTGCTGGGGGTCCTGCTCCTCGTGCTGGTGGCCACTTATGTCTTCGTGGAGTTCTTTGTCAATCCCATGCGGCTGCGCACCAATTACCACTTTGAAGGTCAGACTGGGCTTCCGGCCTGCCTGCTCCCACCCTCAGCCCTGGGCCTGTCTGGTCACGGGTCACAGCCTGGCCTGTGCCTTGCAGTCCTGAAGAATCACACAGATGTATGGTTCGTTTTCCTGCCTGCCGCCCCCGTGGAAACCCAGGCTCCTGCCATCCTGGCCCTGGCCGCCCTCCTCATCCTTCTGGGCCTGCTCTCCACAGCCCTGCTGGGCCACCTGCTCTGCTTCCACATCTATCTCAGTAAGCGCCCCTCCGCCCCTACACCCGCCTCGCAGGACAGAGGGTCCCTAGGCTGCAGGAGGTACCAGTTGGGCTGTAGAGCCCAGAAGCCGTGTCCCTTCCTGCTGGCTGGACGTGGTGGCTGGTTTCTCTCCATGGTTTAGTGAATAAGGGGACAGTGGTGTCAACCTGGGATGGAGTATCCTCCCTCACTTTCTGAACGCCAGGGGCCCCTTTCTATCGCACTGAGTCCTCCCCTCACCCCCACAGTGTGGCACAAGCTCACAACCTATGAGTACATCGTGCAGCATCGTCCGCCACAGGAGGCCAAGGGGGCTGACAGGCAGCTCGACTCATGTCCCCCCAAGATGCGACCCATCCAGGTATCGAAGTGGCCCAGAGGGCTGAGGGGTGAGGGATGGGGCCTGGGTGTGGAAGGGATGGGCCGTGCAGATAGCAGCCAGTAATAACAAAGGGCAAAGGGAAGGAGGTCTGGAACAGCAGCTGGGGTAGGGTTCTGGGCGACAGGGGGGAAGCCAAGCCTGACCTGAGCACATGGCTGCTTGCTTGTGTGGGCTCTGTGCGAAGGAGCCCTGCATTCCCCCGAGCCCATGTGTGCCCCGGTCCAAACTGCAAGCATGTGCCGGAGGGTCCGGAACATGGGAGCTTAGAAGCGGGCAGATGGGCAGGTCAGAGGCCTTGCCCCCCATCCCAGCCCTGAGTCCTTCTGTGCTCTGGGCCCTTACCAGCTGCCCACGCTGGGCCCGGGTTCTTTCTACACAGGGTGGCACCTGCCTTCCTGGGTGTCCTGCTCCCCGTGGAGCTGTGGGGGGAGAGAGGGATGGACAGTGACTGAGGTGGTCACCCGTTACCTCCACGTATGACCCTGAGCTCTCCCTGGACCCTATTTAATCCTCACACATTACCCCCATGAGGCAGGTAATGTTGTCACATCCATGTTGCAGATGAGCATGTTGAGGCCAAGGAAGGTTAAACAGAAGCTGCATCTGGGAAGAGTTTAGGTCTCTACACTCTGAAGCAGGAACCTTCCAGCCCAAGCTAGGGTTTGGCCAGACCAGCTGCTGACCAGCTGATCCTCATTCCCACGCCCCATGGCTTCCTGAGGTCAGCAGCTGAGGGGAGGGGGGATCCTCAGAGCCCCCAGAGACTAGAAGGCAGGGGGCCCAGGCAGGACCTTGCTGGGAAGGCTGAGCCCTGGATCCTGAGTCCTCATGGCAACTGGACACAAACACAGGCTGGTGGGCGGGCTGGGGGAGGGCTTGGGACCTGCCTCTCCTGTTCTCATTGCCAGGGGTGGGCCAGGCTGCCAGGTCTGGGGGGTGTTGGCTGTTAATGGAGAGCCTCTTGCCACACTATTGTGTACCTGCCTGGTGTTGGGCACTGGTGCCATACCAGCACAGTGGCAGCCATTCTGAGGAGTGGGCATCACCCCCCACTTCACAGAGGAGTCTGAGGCTCTAGCTGCACAACAGTGAGGCAGGGCTGGCCCCGGGATGTCCAGGCTCCAGGACTCTGGGCCCCTGCACAGTAGTCTCTGCCTACCTAGGCTTTGAGGCCGATGTGGCAGCAGCAGGGACATATACTAGTAACATCATCTGCAAATGGCCTGAGGGTGCCCCCCAGTGGGAGGAGGGGTGTGCAGAGAGAGCGCAGAGGCTGAGAGATTCCACAGTGCCGTTCAGGAATGTGCAAATGTTGAAGATCTGCTTAGGCTGGCACTCCTATATTCCTTCCCACAGGGTCAGCCTGAGCAGAGGTTGGGTATGGCTTGCCTAAGGTGTCAATCTCTACATTTGTGCAGCCAGCCTGTGGCCGGCTAGACTCTGTCCCCTAAATCTGCCAGTGCCCAAATCTGCAGCCTCCCCACCCCCACCCAGAGCAGGAATGCGGGAGGGGCCCCACTCTGGAGCCGTTGCCCCCAAAACATAGGCTTGTTTTAGAGACCGCGTTTGCTGTTACACTGTCGTCTCTGCATTAGTCAGGACGCCTGGGTCTCCATGGAAACAGCTGTGGAGCGCGCGACAGCTGTCCGGGTGCCCCCCCTCACTCCTCCCCCCCCCCCCCCCCGGCCCTGTGGGGTGGGGCCTCGTCCTTGTCCTGGTCCCGCCCCACATCGTTGGCTCGAGGCCCTCCAGAGCTGGCTTGTTCCTAGCTTTTGTTTCCTTACCTGCAGTCCTCGTGGGCGTGGGCGTAGCTGGAGCCGTCCCGTGTGCTGGGGTGCAGGCCTAGGCCACTTGCAACATTCTGAACTCCGACCCCTTCGCTTTCAGGGTTTGGGTCTGCAACTCCAGGGTCGCTGTTAGGATCAGCTAACAAGGCAGAATTCACTCAAAAGCCTGGTCCCGGATGGGGTTGTAAAGTTGTTTTTTTCCACTACCATTGCCTTCCCTTTCTGATTAGGAGTGGGGAAACAGCATTCCCCAGCAGCTGAGATTATGCTTGGTACCCTGAGGATTCAGCTCTGCCGGAACTGTGGAGCCATGCACAAAACCTATGAACAGCTGGCTACCCAGTATCTCAGCTGGGGGAGTTGGGGTGGGGGGATCAACTCAGAGACCTGGAGTCTTGGGAGGGACTGAGCAGGAGAGGGCAGATCTAAGCACCTCCTCCCCACCACCCACCTTGTCCAGAGCAGCTCTAGACTGGATGCATTGGACTCATGAGGCTGGCGGGACACACACACACACACACACACACACACATACATCCTGAAGAAAATGGAGTTTGACTAGAAGTGAGGAGGTCTGTGGGATTGGGGTAAGGTCCAGAAATGAGTGTTCTATGCTTTGTCCTGCAGAGAGGTTTTTCCAGCATGGCTGGAAAACTGGAGGAGAATAGCAGACATCTGGACTCAGACCCCTTACAGAGGCCTGGGGGGTTGGGGGTGCAGGAATATTGTGTCCAGGGCTGGCTGGGCTCAGGACCTAGAAGGCTCTGGGTCTACACCAGGCTGTCCAGCCTCTCTGACCTCCACCTTCCCCAGGAAATGGAGTTCTACATGCGGACCTTCAGCCACGTGCGCCCAGAGCCCCCTGGCCAGCTCAGGCCTGCTGCAGTGAGTGCCAAGTGAGTGCAATCCTGGCCTCTCCAGCTGGACATCTCCCATTGGCATGGCAGGACTGTCTAAGGTGGGAGAAAGGGGTAGGCCAAGGCCAAGGCCAGGCCAGATCAATGCCCATCTATTGTCTGCTGGGAAGGGAGGCTTATATGAGAACCTCCAACTGGCTGGGATTTGAGGGATCATTCCCATCCAGAGCTTACCCTCCTGCTCCCCCCCTTCCCCCCCAGTCTCTCCCGGTTCCCTACCACCAGTGGCCAAGTGGAGCCTCCACTACCCTCTTCTCCAGAGACTCTGGCTCTGCCCCCCAGGATCCGGCCCCAGGTAGGGGGTACTGTGCTTGGCCCCTGCCCTGATGGAAAGGGATGGGAAAGAAGCCTCTACCCTTCCTCACTCCTCTGCCTCTTTTGGCGATGAGGGCCCTGGGGAAGGGGCGCTCAGCCTGCCTTCTGTCTCTGCAGAAAAAGAGGAAGCCGGGTGAGGGCCCTTCCTGACTGGATCCTGCACCAGGAGCTCCGAGGGAAGGAAAGGTAGGGGCCCCAGCCAGGAGCAGCCCCTGGTCTCACAGTTCCCTCCACCCCCGCAGGGCCCCCGGTCCCCGGCCACCGCTCCAGCTCCTCGTCGTCGGATTCTCAGGGCGCTAGCCCGGTGCTCGTCGCTGGCCCTGCAGGCGCCTTCCACTCGGCGTCAGCGGAGTCCATGGACGAGATTCCCGTGGCTCAGACGCGCCTGGGCAGCGCCGCGCTGGCCGCTCCCGGAGCCCGGGGCCGAGAGCCAGGGCTGGGGCTGCAGGCGCGTGTGCCTGCTGTGTTCGTGAGCCCGAGCAGTGGCGAGCCCAGGGTGCGGGGCAGCCCAGAGGCCTGCCTGGCTTAGCCGGGCCCAGAGGCCGAGGAGGAGCGGCTGGCCCGTCTCTATGCAACACCTGGACCCTCGCAGACCCCTTGCACTTTAGGAGCCCCCAGGGCCGGCGGGATCGGCCTCCCTTCCCAGGACTCAGCAATACCTGTCCCACCAGCCATGATGCTCCAATAAACTTTTCTATGCTTTTGCGGACTTACAGTTTACTTTCTTAATAGCAAGGGCCGAGGGCTCTCCTGGAGTTGGACCAATTCCCGTCAGCCCCTGGCGGGAGAGGATGGGGTGGGCCTTATACGGGTGGCAACCCAGATTTCCTATGTTAGTAAACGGAAAACAGAGGCCCCAGGCACAGGGCTCCTGGTTAGGAAAGATCCTAGAAGGCTGCTTGGAGGAGGTCCTTTTTCTTGAAGAGTTTTCGCGTGGAGACCTGCGGAAAAGAAGGCTTCGCGCTCCGGAGGCAGCAGCGGGAGGAGACCCGGGGAGTCCTGGTGGCGGAGGGCCGCCGGTGTGCCCGGATGCTGGGCTGGGCACTCTTGATTCCCCTGTTGCCCCCTTTCTCCAATCTCCGGAGTTGGGACCTAAGGATGCCACACGTTAAGGCGAAGCGTGGTCCTGAGCCAGCTCTAGACTCCACCGGATCCTCAGCCCTCTATTCCCCTCCCGGTTGTGTGGGAAGCTGGATCTGCCCTGGAGACAGGGGCCTGCTTTGAACTTTGGGTGGGGCCCAGAATGGGGGGCGGCTTTCCCATTAGGGAGCCATCGAGGACGTCCAGAACTGCAGAGGGCTGGCCTCCCGGCCCGCAAAGGCCGCCGAACTGCCGGGGAGCAGACGGAGGAGGCCGTAGCCGCAGCTCCGCCCCTGCGGATCGGGAGCGCCGATGGGGCGGGGTCCGGTGGGTGGAGCCAGCGTGACCTTGGTCACTCTGCCGAGACAGCCCTGGGGGTGGGACTCGCCGTCTCTATGGAGACCGAGAAACAGGGGATAATACAGCGGAGCCGCCCGGGCTGCAGTCCCGCCCCGGAGCCGGCAGGGAGCGGAGCTGCAGAGCCGCCCGGTCTCCCGCGTCAGTGGGTCCATTCTTGTGTCCTTCTGTCCGTCGAACGCGCACTGCAGGAGCAGCCACGAGGTAGAAGTCGGTAGGAGACCCGGGCGCCGACCACCCTAACCAGTAACCTGCATGATGAGGAAGGGGTGGGGGTGGGAGCGGCCTGGAAGGGGTCCCAACCCTGGAGGATACTGGGCTGAGGACGCCAGCTGAGCTGTCCTGCCCCGGCCCCAGTGTTCTGCCCCCTCCCCCTCACCTCCGTGTTGGGCTGATTGATGACTCCAGCTGTCCCAGCGGGAGCAAGCTGGTGGCCCCAGTTCACGGGCGTGGCTGCTCCATCCATGGCCTGCAGACCCCTGGGACTACATACAACCTGTGACCCGGATCTATCTGATCAGCTTGAAATTACCGAGACTCCATCTTCCCAGGGAGAGGAGTGAGCACTGGCTGGATGCAGGACAAACATTCTATGGGAGGAAGCTCCTCTAGACTCTACCCTTCATGAGCCAAACGCTGGGTCTCTGGTGGGAGGTGGGAGTGTAGGGAGAGGGAAGGTTCGTGCAGGATTGGGATTGTGGACAGAGTCGCTGCGATGTAGCAGCTGTGGTTGCTTCCAGTCTTAGAAATTGCAGCTTAGGGATGGATCAATGGTAGCCGAAGAGGGGGCCCCGGCCGTGGTCACTGGAGACTAGTATAAAAGGCAGAGTTATAGGATGGTTGCTGAAGACATGACGGTGGTCAGGAGACTAGTGGAGGAGGTGGGTGTGCTTGTGCAAGTGGTCTCAACATAGTACCTGGGAGTCTAGAAATGCAAGTGTGTGGATATGGACTGGGGGGCTTCAGTGTGGGGCTGAGATTGTGAGTGCGCAGATAAGGGGGGGGGCAGTATATGTGTGTGATCAGGGTTGAGGGGGTTATAAGGCTTTGGGGTCTCGGAAGGGCTGTGGGTGTGTGGATGGAGGCAGCTCTGTGCAGGGCTGAGGGTGTGGTCAGGGAGGCATCGGTACAGGGCTGTTAGGTTGCACAGTGCAGCACTGCGGGTGTGGTCAGAGGACTGCGGAGGGACTGGGAGGGTGTGGGGAGACCATCCAGTGCAGGGCTGAGGGTATACTTGGGGAAGTCTTCGATACAGTGCTATTCATATATGTCAAGGGTGAATGCTGAGAGAATGGTCCAAGCCCTCAGGCTCAGGGCTGCGGGTGTGGTCGGGGAGGTCTGTATACCAGGTGAAGGGTGTAGTCAGGGGGATAAGGCTGAGGGTGTGGAGGGCCAGGTTGAGTACAAGCTGTGGAGTATGGGTTGGTAGGCAGTGCTCGGGGTGTGGTCAAGGGGCCTCAATGGAGGGCTGAAGGTGGGGAAGTATGCTTCAGTGCAGGTGTGAGGATCACAGGGTCAAGGCCACAGTCCCACTGGTCAACATGCCTCTAGGGGCTCATAACCCCTACCCATGATAGCCCCCCAATCTCCTGCTTCCCCCCCCCCCCCAATCTCCTGCTCCTCCTAAACTCCACAAATTGGGAGGTTACAGCCCCAATGGGTGGCAAGGGGCCAGGAAGCCATGGCTGTGCCCCAGGCACTGGGAGTGCTGGTGTGCCCCACCCGTGGGCCCCTGTTCCCCAGCCCAGCCCAGCCCAGCCCAGCAGCACTGGGAGCTTCTCCCTGAGCCACTCTGACACCATCCTGCCCTTAGCAACATTCTCCAAGTAGCACCACCTCCCTTAGCAACAGTCTCCAGGCTTCACAAACTGTGGCCAGGCCAGCTCTAGGCTCCTTCCCCCTCATGTTTTTGTTTAACAGCAAATAGTAACAAGGTCCCGGCTGGGCCAGCTGCACCCCTGCCCAGGGCATGCACCCCTGCCTGTGCTCTGGCTCCCTTCTCAGCCTGGGCTGGGTCTTACTGGATCCTTATGACCCTGACAAAGACACCGTCGGACTAAATACCTGCCCAACTAGCAAGCTAGCCTGGCCCTGACCCAGCTTGGCATGGAATGCCCAGGGAGGGAGGCCTGATCTGCCATCCTCACTTCCACCCAAGCAGGCCTTGTGCCAAGGCCAGACAAAGCCATGGTCCCAGCAGCTGCCCTCACAGTCTTTCTCGACAGTGCCACTCTGTTCCTAGCCTGGTATGGCATCATGATTTCATCTGAACTCCACTCCAAGCCAGGGCTGGCATTAACAATAGGACCTTTCCTCTTGAGGCCCCACCTCAGGGCTCAGGGGCCCCTCTCTGCTGGCAGCTCCTGCTCCAGCTCTTGAGGGTATGTAGCTTAAATGCCCCCCAACTCAGACCTTGCAGGTTTTGAGGGAGAGGCAGTAATGCTCTGTGCCTCGGGGAGGGGAGGAACAGCTTGGCTGGGAAGTGACCAAGGTGGGTCCCTGCAGGGTGGCATGGCAGCGAGCACAGACGTGGCTGGGCTGGAGGAGAGCTTCCGCAAGTTTGCCATCCATGGTGACCCCAAGGCCAGTGGGCAAGAGATGAATGGCAAGAACTGGGCCAAGCTGTGCAAGGACTGCAAGGTGACTGATGGAAAGACTGTCACAGGGACTGATGTGGACATCGTCTTCTCCAAAGTCAAGTGAGCCCCCGGGAATGCCTGCTTCTGGTGTTCCCAGAAGGTGGGGAGTTGGGGGGCTGGAAGCAGGGAGGACATGGAGAAGGAGGAACTCATGGTGTCCACATATCTGCCAGAGGGAAGTCTGCTCGGGTCATCAACTATGAGGAGTTCAAGAAGGCCCTGGAAGAGCTGGCCATCAAGCGATTCAAGGGGAAGAGCAAGGAGGAGGCTTTCGATGCCATCTGCCAGCTGGTCGCCGGCAAGGAGCCAGCCAACGTGGGTGTCACTGTAAGTGCCCTGTGGTCTCAGGGAGACCCTGGGGGTGTGGGGAACCTCAGCTGGGGGTGGGAAAGGCTGGGCTCCCTAACCAGGTGCTCCTGGGGAACTCTGTCCAAACAGAAAGCAAAAACAGGGGGTGCTGTGGACCGGCTGACTGACACCAGCAAGTACACGGGCTCCCACAAGGAGCGCTTCGATGAGAGCGGCAAGGGCAAGGGCATCGCCGGGCGGCAGGACATCCTGGATGACAGTGGCTACGTGAGTGCCTACAAGCATGCTGGCACCTACGACACTAAGGTGAAGAAGTGAGGCCTGGGAAGGCCCCCTGCATGGCTGCCCCGGCCAGCGGCTCAGGCCTAGGCCTAAGGGGCACGTGGAGCAAGAGAGCCCAGTCCCCTCCCTGCTGGACCTGCCATCCAGAGCTTCCTGCCCAGCCCCACTGGGCCAGCCCACCAAGCCTCTGACCCAGGCTGCTCTGTGTCCCCTTCCCATTTCCTCCATGACTTCTCTCCCCCTGGGGAGAGTCTGTGCCTATAGCCTCACCACCCTAACTAGCCCTGGGCATGGCTAACCCCTGACTGCTTGCCTCATATTTAAGCTGCTGCTCTGGCCAAGTGCCTAATTCTTACCCAGACCTCAATAAAGACACCTTTTGTATCGATATGGCCTGGTCAGTTATATGACAGTGGGGATAATGACATTCACACCCCACTGACCCTCAGTGTCATCACTCCCCTGCCTCTCGTACCGCTTATTCTTCCACTGGTGGCCCTGTCCCCAAAAGACAAACACATCTCTTCCATCAGCACAGGCCAGGCTGCCCGAGATGCTCCTGAGGAAAACCCAGAGCCTTCCTTCCTGCAGTTCAGGCCTCAGTCTTGGCCTCTCTGCTTTCACAGCAGGAGGAGGGATGAGACAGCAGATCTGACCTGGGCCAAGTGTTGGCAGGGGGCTCAGTGCCAGGCTCAGTCTCAGGCTGCTGACAGGCCCCACTCTCGGGGGCTACCAAGGCGAGCCATTCTGGGCTCCAGCTTTAGAATATCAGAAAGTGCAGGAAGGACCTTAGGGGGTAGGTAGTCTAATTCCCCAATTTTGCAGCTGAGGAAACTGAGGCCCAGAGAACAAAGGGGCTTCCGCAGGGTGGGGGGTGGAGGTGGCGAGGGCAGAACCATGCCCCAGCATGATCACCAAAAACGGGACTGGATGGCCAGTGAAAGAGCTCGGCACCCAACACCAGCCAGGGGAGCAGAGCATCCAGCAGTCCAGGGCCTCTTCATTGCTGACTCCCTGTTCAACATCCCAGGTTGGGAGGAGGGTGGGGGCCTCTCCGGTCCTCTCTAGCTCCTGGGAGTTTCTGGATTAACCTTTTCACCTTTTCTTCTCTCTGAGTTATAACAAGGCCAAGGCTTTGGGGCCAACTCGCTTCCTGCTGACAAACAGGCTGGATGGGACTGAGTGCCTTGGAGAGAGTAGCTCCTAAAGGAGCTAGGAAAAGGCTCAAAGGTCTGGCTAACAGGACAAAGTAGTGCAACTGCTCATTCCCTCATCCCACAGATTTCTGGGGTGTTCCTGCCCCAGGCTCTCTCGCTGGCTACCCAGCCCCATCCTTGAAGGCAAGTTCTCTTGGGAGTGCGGGATGTAGAGAAATAGTGTGGCTCAGGACAGGGAAGCTGGGGGGTGGGAGGTGGCGATTAGAGGATGGAGGATGAACCCCTGGCCACAGTAGAGCCCAGCCTGACAGCTGCCAGCGGTGGGCTCCTCCTCCCCATTAGGCCGACCACAGTGGCCTCACATTGCTCAGGGAAGAGTTTCAGAGATCTCTACCTCTCACATCGCCAGGTAAAAATTATTCCTCTAACCTTGGGGAATTTGAATGGTAAGCTAGCTTACATGAGCATAATGGGAGTGAAACCCAAAGCCTTCTAGCTTTCACTCACTAAAATATCCTCTTAGTGCAAAGAATTGAACTGGATTGCAAATTGGTCCAGGCTATTAAGTGATTAAGTGAGAGTACCATCAACGAGTAGGGAAGCAGCAGCTCAGCCCTCCTGTGACTGGCGGTGTGGTTTCGAGGAATCCAGAGAGAGAACTGTCTGAGCCCTGAAACTCCGCCTTGTAGGAGAAAGCCCACTCCTCTGGAAAAGTGGCCATGCAGCCTGAGGGAAATCAAGGTTCATCTAGAGCCAGGAAGACCCTTAAAGACCTACGGGCCTACCAGTAGAACCCAAACTGCACTTCAACCTTTAGTTATCATTGCTCCACCCTCCATAGCCCCCACATGGTGGAGAGCTTTGGGTACCCTTGCTAGCAAAGCCACGTGGGCAAGGAAGAGTGGTGAGGGTCATTAAAACCTACATGTAGCTGGTAGGAAGGCCAAATCTGTCAGAGTGGCTTTGCCCCACCTTTGGGGTACAGCACTTGCCGGAGGTCCCGGCCCTGATTCCTTCTTTCTCCCTGTAACGCAGGCCTTAAGTGAGGAATTTCTTTCCACCTATTTTCCAGTTGCTTCAGGAGATTTATCTCTGCTCTCCATGTTGAGTTCACAGAGTTCCAACAATTCTTTGGCCCTTCCCTTCACACCTTTCACCCCTATCCTCGCCCTGTGGACCAAGTGCCCCACAAGGCAAGTGAGGAACACAGTCAACTTCCCTAAGTGTGGCCATCAACCCTGGAGAGGTGCCTGGCTGGGGCATGGCCAGCCACTAGCAGTGACATTAGAAAATAAGGTGACTGCCTGGATCAGGCATTGGACTGCAGTCCTTTACCCGGTACACTCTCTGGCTATATTAGCTATCTGGGCAATCCTGAAGCAGAAACACACCTAGAGCCACTTTCATGATCTCTTCCCATTGATTTTTAAAATGCCCCACCCATGAGAATTGAAAGAAAAATGGTGCCTTTGTCTGAAATACAGAATACTCATGAGTACAGTGGATGCTGAGCCCAAAGCTAACACCCAGAAACTGCACCTCTGGTCTAGACTTCACCAGCCTTTTCTCCCTTCTCTCTAGCTCCTTGCTGTCTCCCCCCGCTCCCTCCATACACACATACAACCATCACCCGATTCTTCTTACAAAGAAAGCTTCTCAAACACAATCTGCCACTCCTCTGCCTTCCCAGTGTGAAATCCCCAAGGAGCCGTGCTACCTTGTTCCTTCCCACTTCATGGAATTTACACATGCTGTTTCTCTCTGCAGCTCTCCCCATTGCTTTTGCTTTTGACCCTGTGCCTGGTAACCTTCTACTCATTCTTCAGGTCTCAGTTAAAAGAACATTTCTTTAGGAGACATTTTCCTGACACCACACCTCACAGGCATGGACTGCTCCCCCATTTATATACTCATGGCACCCACAAGATGTGACCCACATCTTCCTTGCTCTATGATCCCTCTGGGGCTCCAGACTCTTCCACTCTTGGCCTGAGAAGGCTCTGCATGTTCCCATTCCACTCTTCTGCAGCTTCCACTCAAACAAGATTTCAGTGATGCCTTCAATTCCCCAGGGTATGGATCTCTCTCTCTCTCTCTCTCTCTCTCTCTCTCTCTCTCTCTCTCTCTCTCTCTCTCTCTCTTTTCCTTCCCTCTCTCCCTCCCTCCCTCTCCCTCCCTCTCTCTCTGTCTCTGTCTCTGTCTATCGCTTTTCAGGGCATCTTTAGGCTTTTGTTTAGACCTGTTTGGCATCAATGCCAAGCTTTGAGCTCTATCACACCAGTTTGTGCTTTCCTCCCTGACTGAATCTCCAGGGGAGACACCAGATCTTTTTATCTTTCCACTATGGTGGAAGAAAACTAAAAATATGTTTGATGAACCAATCCATATGAATTCTCTGAAATTTCTTCTAACACAGAACACACCTGGTCATGGGTGTTCTTGTTAAATGTCCTACCACACAGTTTCAAGTGACTCCGGGGAAAATGTCTAGTGTTTTTTTCCTATTAAACATTTTCAGCCAAATGTTCCTATGTGATACGATGCTAGGACTAAGTGCCAACTATTTCTGTGGGCAGAAGAATGACTTGATGGGAGGAGATAAGACAAATAAAGAGAAGGACCAATACGATGTAATCAGAATAATATTTTTTTCTTAATCTTGTGGGTAAATACCACCACACTGGTGGGAATGACACGGAGAGTCCCCTGTGGCTGAGAGGGAAGCTGCAGAGAAGGTATTCAGTGCTAGCTAGCTCCATAAACTAGGCTCTGGGACAGAGTTTGAGACACTCTGTATTAGATACTGACCCGTGTCATGTGCCCCTGGGGAGGAGGAAGACAGCGCGCTTTTCCCAAAGGGTGATGATCTCCCTAAGTGATGACTCTTCTCAGGAGGCAGGAGTGCTTTCCCAGAATAACTTTTTTGCTCTTTATTCAGCTGCTGCAGCAGATACTCATTAGTTACCACCAGGGATCTGAGGCACGGGGGAAAAGGCAGATATGAAATCATAAAAGCAAAGTAGATGCCATTCAGACTTGTAATGTTAGCTAAAGACAAATACAAAATATAAAAAGTAACATCTTTAAATAGAACTGTCCAGTTTATGAGTGGATTATTTTAAAGGCAGGTCAACAGTTTTTTTTCTTCATTATGATTCTGTTTATGTTCCAGACTGACTGTAGCAGGAACATAGTTCACATTTTATACAGTGATTGCTCTATCTGTTCCAAAGCACTTTCATGATGAGGTAAGTAGAAGCACTGGGAGATTGGCATCTGACCAGGCCTCCAATTTCTATCTCCAAATTTTAACTCCTACTTCTAATCTACACTGCCTCTGCAATTACCTAGTGGTGCTAGTCATCGCTATACTTTTGGACTCTGAATTACCTTGTAATGTTAAAAGCCGTCAGAAACTGGCCAAAAAAACAAGAAAGTAAAAAATGATACATGCACAATGCTATTCATTGCAGCACTGTTTGTAACTACAAAATACAGCCAACCTAAGTGCCCATCAATAGAGAAATAATTAAACAAAAACACAATGGAGTCCCATCCTATATAATAAAGAGCTAATATACTTATTAGACCAAACAGCAGAGCGACCATCCAAACAAAGTTGGGGCTGCAAGGGAGGGCTGCGAGGACCCAGCTCCTTGTACGAATTTCGTGCATTGGGCCTCTAGTACAACTCTAAAAAGGAATGAGAGCTACCTCTATACACCACTGTGAACTGATTGCTTAGATAAACTGTTAAAGTATCATTATGCCTCTTTTTATGTACTAGAGTGCCCCTCTACACACACCTACAGTGGAAGGCTAGTGGGAAGGAAGGAGAGGATAGAGGAGATAGGTAAGGAAGCTAGGTTTACTTGAATT